TGATCGTACAAGGGTGGGAACTAAATTTCAGCACAAACTCAAGATCCTATATAGGGCAGAAGGCAGGCTCTGAGTATGCAGCCCATGAACCCCCATGAAGGGGGGGTGCTTGCTCCCCAGCCGCTCACTCACCTGCTGGGTCCCAAGGTTAGGCCCTCAGCCCACTGGAAGGCACCAGGGTGACCCTGCTTCGCTGGAGCCAGTGAAGTGCTTGCGGACCTTCTTCGGTCCTCAGCCGTTGGGAGGTTGCTTCGGTTTGGTCTGGGGCCCCACGCGGGCTTCCAAGGGTTCTTCTGTCCCGTGGGGGATGCGCTTACTGGCCTCGCTCAGCGAACTTAGGGGTTTGAACTCTGCACTTTTCAATAAAAATTACCCTCCACTACCCTACAAGACCGAACTGATACCAAAGTGAAACACTGTTTAGGTGGCCCTGGGGCAACTGGAAGGCCGATGCCTAGAGATGAAAAATTTGGCGGGAACTGGCAGTGAGTGAAATAACAAGATAAAAGTTTAGAAGATAGCATGAATATGTGTAAATATATAAAATGATGCTTTCTGTAGCCTTTATGAGGTATGAGGTTAGCGTCTCTCTTGAGAACATAAAATGCATTTTGTTGAGTTCATTAGCTCAGGAAACTAACTGGTAATAAAAGAAATAGACTTTGAAGGAAACTGGCTTTCACAGCCTGCCTCTTTCCCTTTTCCAACCTGTCTCTACTTTTCCTGTAACCCCTTGTATCATTTTAGCTAGATGCTCAAGTTCACCTTTGAGTGTAGATCAGATCAATCTAATATGTGGACTGGAACATGTTGTAGATTAAATTGTGTCTCCCCAAAAAAGATAGGTTGAAGCTCTAACCCCTATATCTGTGAACATGATCTTGTCTGGAGAAATATTATCAGTAAGAATGAGATGGTTCTTAACCCTTTCTGAGAGTCGCATGGGGAGGGAATATTGTAGAAAAGACAGCTAGATGAAGAAACATCTGTAAGCCTGCCATCTTCAAGAAATGTTCAGTGGTCCAGATGCAAAAAAAAAAAAAAAAGACAAGGAACAATCTTTCCTTAGAGCATAAAGAGAGAAAAGGAAAGAGACAAAGAGAGAGACAGAGACTAGACTAAGTGATACTCAGAGTTCAGACTTCCACCCTCCAAAATGGTAAGAAAATATATTTATCTTCTTTAAAGCATCCACTGACTGTTAGTTAACTATAGCAGCCTTAGGAAATAAAAGCATCTGTCAAGTAGGAAAATAATTATGTATGTATGAACCACAAACATAAACAAAACCCCATTGCCTGTATCAAAATTACAGATAAGATAAAAAGAAGCATTCAATGAGCCTTTGCCCATCCATATCACTATTCAGAAATTACACAGTATGAGGTTATTGAAAGAGGCTGTGTGATCTGGCCTCTCAGCGACTCTGCACATCCTTGTGAAGTATGCCAACTGCAGGACCTCATTTCTCAGCTCGCTGCTGTCCAGTGGAAACTGACTAACCCTCCCGAGATTCTCAGAGGCTGTAAATCACATGAGAAGGATAACCCATCTTTCTCCCACAAAGCAGCTGGTGGATTGAAACTGCCTGTCTTTGGATTGGCAGAGTAACATTAGGTAGGTCACCAGAGTTCCCTAATTACCCTCTCACTCTGAACTATTTCTTTTTGGCATAGTCTGTAGGAAGTTGTGCTTGTAACTCAAAGGCCACCCTCCTCTGGCAGTTTGAATGTACCAGCAGCTCTGCAGGTCAAAGATGAACAATCTCTTGTGTGATTACAGCCTAGGAAACCCCAGTGAAGGAGGGTCAGCTATGATGGTTCTCACTAAATGGCAATGAATTTTTGTTGTTGAAAGCAATGTAAACAATATTGTAGATCAAATAAACTAATATGATAATGGCATTAATACGACTCACTTGTCAGGGACAAGTGGGGTCAGAGTGTTTACAGTTTGCTATACGAGGTGCTTAAGCTCTTTCACAACCCACTGGGCCATAGTGTTGCCCAGGGAGACTTGGAGATAGGGGAACTGGTTTCCAAGAGATACTCCTGTTGTTTGCAGTGCTATAATGAACTGCCTTGCTATGATTCATTGAGTCCTGCTGTCTACTTTTGGCACATATGGAATTATAACAGATTTACTTCTTGCTATCTTTTCCTGTCAAAGGTATAGCTACTTATTCTGATCCAGCAAGAAATGCATTCTAGATTACCTCTCCCTTAAAGTGCCTTGTTGTATTTAGGTGCTGTCAAGTCAACTCTGGTTCATAGTGACCCAAATTTACAAGAGAGTAAAGCTCTGTCTGCTTTCAAGCCATCCTCACAGTCTATGAAGTCCCATCATCCTTGTTTATAAGGAACACTACGGCTGCACTTTTCTGAAGACTGACTTGGCAAAGTAACTAACTTTTCATAGTCCATAGCACATTTATATACTTTTAACCTACAAATTCCTCTTTTGAAAATATATTTTAAAGAAATAATAGTAAATGTGGACAGGTTTTGTTTAAAAGTTGAATGTGGCATTATTAGTTTGGTAGCACTATGATCCTTGCAATAGTTTATTAATGTTGGCAGAAAACTAGGTTCATGGAATACTGCCAGATGATAGCACTCCTGAGAATGCCTGAGGTAGATGAAAAACTACACCTTCCATGGAGTTCTCTCGAGGCTTAATAGGAAAATAAACACCATGTAGCACATAGACAAAATATTAAATAGTCTGCTTAAGATCTTGAGAATTGAATGTTCTTGAAAATATAATTGGGGGATATATAGAAAACATTTTGCCTGATGGTACATATTAATGGCTTAGTCAATGCTAGTTGTTACTATTAGAAGTATTAGGATATGTAATAAAGACAGAAAAACTTCTGTACTGCTAGTCAGGGGAGCTGAGTTTTAGTCTTGTGAGTGTTCTACTCAATAAATAACTCATTAGTAAACTCTGAGATTGTCAAGCTCCTCTAATCCTTGTTGTCTTCATTTGTGAAATAAAGGGAGATTAAATGATCTCTAAGTTCGCTTTCAGTTCTGAAAATACATGAGTTTGTGATTAGATTGGATTCAAGCCTCAACAATTGAATGAGAAATAATAACACTGGAAGACCTAAAAAATATCAAGACTACCAAGAGGAAATGTCTGGACATTGTAGGGAAATTGCAGTTAAGTTGCAGATTATCAGTATTATGTTATCATTGTCATAACACAGCCACATGATCTTATGAATAAACAACAATTTCAGTAGTCAACCATTCAAGTAAATTACATGTAAATATTAACTAATAAGTAATCACAGTTCATTACCTCATCCTTGCCTTCCAATATTATTGGCTTGTGGAACATTTTTATTCTGTTCACTTGTCCATGTTATTGGGAAAACAAAAAACTACCACCAATGCAGAGAACCAAAGCACCTGACACCACGCAGCTAGGCAATTAATAAAATGTTTGTGGAGGAAAAGAAATCCAACTTTTTTATAAAAGTATTTTAAACATACACTAAGTAGATTTCCTAATCTTTATTTTTCTTAACAAAAAGAGAAAGTTACATATGCTCCTTTTAGTGAGTTGTGTTGTTTCCCCACCAAAAAACGTCCAAGTCTTAGTCCATTGTAGTTATATTCTTAGGTGCCTTCCAGTCAGCTATGACTCCTAGCAACTTTATGAAAAACAGATCTGAATCTTGCTCTATTCTGCACCAGCCTTATCATCTCTGTCATGCTCAAATCATTGTTGTAGTCACTATTGTGACTGTCATTGTTGTAGTCATTGTTGTGTTAATCTATCTAGTTGAGAGACTTCCTCTCTTTCGCTGACCCTCTGCCTTTCTCAGCATGATGTCTCTCTCTAAGCACTGGTTCTTCCTGAAAACATGCTCAAAATAAGTCAGGTGAGGTTTCATCAACCTTTCTTCTAAAGAGCATTCTGTCTTCCTTCAAGACAGACTTGTTTGTTCTTTTGGCAGTCCATGATATATTCAATACTCTTCTCCAACACCACAATTCAAACATAGCGCTTCTTCTGTTTTCCTTATTTATTCTCCAACTTTCAGAGGTATAGGAAGGAAGTGAACAATACCACGGCTTGAATCAGTCTTTAAACGAATATCCTTGCTCTTTAGAACTTCGGATAGGCCACTGAGAGCAGATTTCCACAATGCGAAACATCTTTTCATTTCTTGACTGCGGTTGCCATGGGTATTGATTGTAAATTCAACTAGAATTAAGTCACTGACAACTTCAATCTTTTCTCCATCCGTCATCTATTGGTCTAGGGTGAGGATGTTTGTTTTACTGATGTTGAGATTTAACTCATATCAAAGGCTTTGATCTTCTTCAGAAGGTGCTTCTTGTTTTCTTGACTTTCATCTATCTGGTTGTTTCATTTGTATAATGCACGTTGTTAGTCTTCCATCCAATCCTGATGCCACTTATTCTGGATGGTCAACTACAAATTGGTTCCTACTCGATGGAATATAAAAACAGTAACTCATAGAAATTGGGAGCCAAACTCTAACCAAAATCGAGTGATTCGAACCCACCAGCCACTTACGCAAGAGTACAATGTGGTGAGCGACAGGATAATATCCATTCGCATACAAGCAAGTCCAGTGAATACCACTATCATTAAAATATATGCATCAACAACTAGAGCCAAAGAAGAGGAGAAAGACAGGCTTGGGCAAAAATTACAATTTACGGGGCAGCTGTAATTTGCCCTAGAGTTTCTATCAGCAGGAATCCAATCCATGGTTTTGTTTTTCCCAGAAGGGCTGCCCTCCATTGTGCGCAAGCCACCTTGGGAGTTGTAGTTTTGAGAACGTAGAATGAAATCCAATCAGCAGAGAGCCAACTTGCTTTCTGCTCAGTGATTGGCTGCAAGTCAGCGGTTGTCCAACGGCCTCGTCGTGCCTGGTAAAGGCTGCGGCAGGGTAGGGTGGAGCATTAAGTGGTGCCTAGTTCCCTGCTTCTTTCGTGTGCTACAGCGGTCCGACTATGGCAGGCTCACAACCCGCGTCCTGCGGGCTCTCCGAGGAGGCTGCCCTCAGTTGCTGTTCAGACCCTGACCCCAGCACCAAGGTGGGCGCAAAATCCAATTCCCTGGCCTAGGGACCCTACTATAAGTTGCAGTGCAAAGAGTGTGCACCTATAGGCTTTCTAAAGGGCCTGGCACTGGTTGCATTCGAATCCCATTTGAGAGACCTAAAAAGAGGGCTGATGTTGTCTGATGGGAGGAGCCGTGGGGACCGCCATCAGTAAAGGGAATCTGTAGTTTAGCTTCTTTTGAAGACTGCGTTAACTCCTTGCATTAACTCGTTTATTTTGGGATGGTAACTGGAAACCACAGCTAAATCGGATCAGGCTCCAGATATGTGGGTGTACGTGTTCCCCAGGCCAATCGCCAGGCCCATAGAGCAAATCCAGAATTCGCAGTTGTAAAGGCAAAGATCAGTCCACGCGGTCCCTCCTAGTCTCGGCCATTTTTTTTTTTTAAACTGCCTTGGCGCCTGACTTAACTCCTCCAAACTAATTTGAACACTCAAAGTTTAACCGCACCCAGGATTTCCCCTTTGCTCGGCCTTTTATTGTTGCTCGGGGACATTTTTGCATTCCCTGTGCGTGTTGGCCCCCAGGAGAGGTTACGAAACCGTGGAACTTAGATCTGGAGGGAAATAGGAATTCCCTCTCCGACCCTTCCGTTTTACAGCAGAGACCCTGTAAGAGAAATGACCTGCTTGTCAAGGCTTGTCACCTCTTTCGTACCTCCAGTTAGGCAGCCAGAACTGAGTCAGCTTAACTCACTCAGGTGTGGCGCCACTGTACATTGTCGCAGTTAGACACAGAAGCTGCTCTAGGGCTTTAGTACAGTGCCCTCATCGATGTCCGTCAATGCCTTATATTTCATTATTTGGCTGTGTGATTTGTAAATTCATTGAAGATTGCATAATGTACTTTATGTTGACCTCCATGGTCCCTACCTGCCTTTTGTCTTCAAGTAAAGGAAACCCTCTAATTCCTTAAGCCTTAAACTAGTATCTGGAATTTAGATAAAATGTTAGTCACTACAAAATTAAAGGAGCTATCTCTCTATTTCTTTATTTGCTTCTCAATTTCATAAACTCATTGCTGTGAAGTTAGAGCTAACTCATACCTGACCCTCTAGTGGGTTTTCAGAGGCAGTAAAAGCAAGCTTGCACATCTTTCTCCCACAGTCACAAGCTGATTCCAATAGCCAGAGAAGCATCCCTTTGGGTTAGCTCTGCAACTCCCTGCTGCACCTATTTTTTTTTAAAGTTGCCAATCCTGATGACAATCCCAATTCATGGTGATGTCAAGTGTTTCATAGTAAAACTGTACTCCATAAGGTTTTAAATAGCTGTGGCTTTTCAATAAGATTTCCAGCCCTTTATTTCAGAGCACCTCTAGATAGTTTTGAATTGCCATCTTTTTGGTTACTAGCCATGCACTTAACTGTTTTCACCATGCAAGGGCTCATCTTCTTATTAATACGTATTTCACATAATATAAATTAAGTCACTCAGTATAAATTAACTTCACGTGCTTCCATAAGTTGTAAGGAGTTGCACTGCCAACCCAAAGGCATGCAGTTCAAATCCACCGGCTGTTCCAAAGGGTGTTCCAAAAGATGGGCAATAGCTCCTGTGTAATTTACAGGCTCTGAAAACCTGCTGGATGGTCAGCTGTGAGTGGGTCCTGACACAACAGCATACAACGATGACATAACTGGGAGTTTTATGTACTAGATGAATAAAGTGGAAATAGGTACTCACTGGTGTATGTTGAGTGTTTGTGCCAGGCCCTGGCTTTTTAAGTGTGTTATTTCATCCTCTTAGCAATCCTATGCTGAAAACATAATTATTGTTCCCATTTTACAAATGAGGAGACTTGAGCAAGTTGAGTAGTTTGCCAAGGAAGGAGTCCACACACCTAATTTCTACCCTTTTTTGCTGTGGGCTACTGACCTGAGCAGTAATTCTGAAACTTGTCGTGAAGGAAATAAACAATTCTAAATGAATTAAATTTTAACCCAGTTCTGTGCACCTGCTGTATTATAAAGTACTTGGTAGGTATTTGGAAGAATGTAGGGATAAAACAAGGCAAAATTCCATCCTTTCCTCAAACATACACAAACTTAGATAGACTGAAACTGAGATTAATATGCTATTGAAGTTGTAAAGCACCTTGGGAGGAGGAAGTTTTCAAAAGTAGCCATGGCGTGGTGGAAACCCAGGTTTTAGGAGTCTGAAGACCTGCATTTTATTTCCACGTGCTATCCCTGGCTGCATGATCTTGTCAGGGCAGTTGGACTGAGTTTGAAAAGAGGACATCAAGACACGTAGGAGAACTGATAGAGGGTAAAATGAATGATCTGTAAACTGTGAAGAAAACACTATTTCAAGTTGCGTTTCAATCGGGATCAAAGAAAACCTCAAGGAAAATGTGACTGTGGGGCAGGCCTTTAAAGACAGGGAACATTTCAGCAGATGGAGCTACACAGGGCACGGGGTGGGAGCATTTCATCAGACAGAGCTACACAGGGCATCTGGGTGAAAACCTGGTAGTGGAATGACAAAATGCAAGTCTGAGAACACCCTTGAGGGGAGAGTGAATTGCTTTTGGTTGAAGTTCAAGTTCTTTGAGCAGTGGAGCAGTGGTGGAGAAGCCTAGAAAGGTAATTTAGAGCCAGATTGTAAAATACCTTGACAGTCACATCTCTGGAAGGTGGATTTTTTTCCAGGCAATAAGGAATTACCGAGAGTTGGGAAATATTTTGTAGGATATGCTGAAACAATCAAAGCCTGGTGGTGATGAGGTCATTTAAAAGATTCTTCCAGAAGATGCACTTAAGTGGTTTGGAAAAGAGAGCAACAGAGATGGAAAGCTCATTTGTTGAGGTTTGCATATGTGTCAGTAAAAGGCTGATTGAGGAATGCATCATTTTCAAAATGAACTGAGGGCAAGCTGGTTCCAATTAGTACTGACCCTCCAATAATTCAGTGAAATTCGAAAGCTAAATCGTAATGGGAGGGGACTGCCAATTTTTCTGTCTCCATCAGCTAGTGAATTTGAAATGCCTAAGAGGCTTGGCCTTTGGGTTTGCAGTGCAACTCCCTAGACAGTAACTAGCAGAGTTCCCTGAGGAATGCCCTATACCCAGAACAATCTTATGTGGCTCCCTTTCTTTAAAAGGTTAAATGCACATTCTTCCAATCAACAAGCTCCTGAAAATTGTTCTTTCACTGTATTTACTGGTGTCCTTTGATAGAGTAAGTGATGTCCTAAGTGTTGCTGCTACTTCCAGATGACTACTGCCAGTATCTGTGTTTGTATCATTCCAATTTGTTCATGAAAGGTATAGTCTAAGAGTGGTTTTGGTATGGGTTACTGCCTTGGACTTTTCATTCATTAAAAAAATATCTACTGAGCACCTAGATGCAAAGTTTAACCCTAATTAAAGAAAAAAGCCCACTTTTTCTAAGGAGCCCAATTGAAAGCCATGGCCTCCATCCTCAGCACAAAGCCTCTCCCCTTCCTCCGTTTTGTTTTGACAGTTTTACATATCAGAGCTCTTTTAAAAACTATTCCTCTGCATTATCAACTACAAGTAATAGTAGAGTGAAACTAAAGGTGTGGGTCACGTGCACATGCATACGCAATAAGCTCACCACATATTCAAAGAAAATATGAACACTTACGTTTAGTTCATGTATCTCATCCTGTACAGATTTCTTTTTGGTAAATAAATTTTACAGTGTACATTTGTTTGTCTATATAATTAATCTACAGGCTGCTCCTTGGAGTCAAGGATTCTGAAGCTTTGTCTGACATACTTTGGGCATGTTGCAAGGAGGGACTGGTCCTTGGAGAGGGACTTCATGTTTGGGAGAGTGGAGGGATGTACAGGAGAGGAAGACCCTCGATGATATGGATCGATTCTGATTAGGGTGGTGAGAGTAGGTGTGTCAGAGATGGTGAGGTTGGCACAGGATAGAGCAGGATTTAGAGCTCTTGTACATAGGGTTGCTATGAGTCATAAGCAACTCGACAGCACATAAAACAACATCAATAGTGGCATGAACTTACATTGCAATCCTTAATGCACATGGTTCAAATCCACCACCTCCTTTGGGAGAAGGATGGGCAGTCACCTCCTAGGCGATTTGAAAACCCACTGGGGGGTCAGCTATGGGTGGGTTCCAACTCAATGGTACTAAACAACAACAGCAATATACATTTACTGAGGATATGTATATTTAAAAAGTGTTGACCACTTTTAGAGCAGTAGTGCCTGAAGGTAGAGAAGTCTGCAACAACCATATATGCTTCCTTTGGGGACTTTGTTCCTCGAAGCACTAAGGAGCTAGTGAAGAATTGTTTGTTTGACTTGCTTTCTTTTTCCCCCTAGGAATGACATAATTGGGCTTTTTGTTTGGGTTTTTTTTTTAAATTTTATTATTGTTATTAATTTTAATGAAAATTTACAGAGATTTTAGATTTCTAGCCATTCATTGTTGTACTTTTTTCCCCACCCACACCTCCCTTCCAGTTCAATCTTCTCTTTCAAAAGTAAAATTTTTCATTGGTATACAATCCCTCCCCCAAGTGCACTCCACTATGCACTCCTGTCATGATAATACCTAATCATATATCACTTTTAAACAGTTCTCTTCTTCATCTGTTTCAATGCAGTATGCAAAATTTATCCCATTTTCTCAGTATCCCCGAAGGCCTATGTCGGTCCCATTTTACAACAGTGACACTATGTAGTATTTGTCCTTTTGTGACTGTGATATTTCACTCAGCATAATGTCCTCCAGGGTCATCCATTTTCAATAATATTTCATGAGTTCCTTGTTTTTCAATGCATCGTAGTATTCACTTATGTGAATATACCATAGCTACTCTGTCCATTCGTTTGTTGATGAGCACTTGGGTTGTTTCCAACTCTTTACTATTGTGAGCAAAGCCATGATAAACATGGGTGTGCAGATTGGGTTTTTATTATAGCAGATTCACTTAGGTAGCAGTGAAGGTCAGCCTGCAAGAAGCAGAGAGCC